TGTGCCCGCCCCCCGGCGCAATTGGGAAAAGACGCCGGCCCCTTTGCCCAGGGGGTGTTCCAAGTGCGGCGTCCCGGCTGGTGGGCCGCAGCCGTAAACGGGTCGGGTCTCTTGGCGCCGCTGGTGCGGGGCGTCCGAAGGAACGGGTTGATTCGCCATGGGCGGTGTCGGAAGCGAAAGGTGGGCTTTGCATGCCCTATTTTTCAGGGGCGCGGTATTCTTTGACGTTCGCATTGTGCGCTGGCGGGCTCGTGGGGGGGTGGTGGTGGGGGGTTTTCCCCTTCGGGAAGTTGATGCCGGCGCTCTTTCCCTTTCTTCGGTTCGCCGGCGCCCCAGGGTCGAGGCACTGAAGCGTTTAGCGCGGTTCGAAAATTGATGAGGCGCCTCGCCGGCAGACCTCGTGCAGATAAGGAATTGCAATTGCGCGCCGCGGGGGATGGCGCACAAATCATGAAGCGGAATGGCGTTGTTCGTGGTGCTTTGGGCCGCCTCAAATCGGGATGGGGGGTTCCGCTCCCCGCAGTGAGGGGCACGCCGTCCGGGAAACGGCGACGTTTATTGTATGGCCCGGTTGCCAGGGACGCCCAAGAAGGCGAAGGGGCCAACGTTCCGCCGGGCCACGCTTCCCAATATCTTGATGCGGCCTATGCTGAATGCGCCCCCTTGTTTGATCTAAAGGCCTCCTTTTTCCAGGTGGGCCTGCCTGCGGGTGTTCTGGCGGGGTTCCGTTGTTGTGCGGGGGGCGGGGGAATTGTGGCGCCAAACCGGCCCTGGAATTTTTACACGCCATCGGGAGAGTCTCGGCGGGAGGCTCGGGGATGGAAAAACCGCATTTTGCAGCCCCAGAGCAATTGATGACACGCGCGTGGGTCGGCAGCGTGTGCGTGGGCTTGCCGCGGGGTATGGCCAAGCGCTGGGGCAATTGCGTTGAAAAGGCCGTGCGGGAGTGCGGCGCAACGGTTGGGGAACACAACGGGGCGCCCCAGCGGCAATGGGTTTATTGAAACGCTGCTGGGTCATGAAAAACGGACGGTTTCGTGAGGCCCAGAAAAATGCCACGA